TTATCAAAATGGAAGATTACATTTCCAGGCTGAGAAAATTCGCAAATCTGGACTTTCAATCAAAACATTTTTGACAGTCTGGACATTTTTGTCCAGAAGGATCTTCTTTATTGAAAACATTTGTTTTAATATTGGATTCGAACGGTAAAAGGGTTTGTAATACATACCAGCTGACAAATGGATTTCGTGTACAAGTAAAGGTAAGACCATAAACTTTTATTATTTCTAGTTAGAAATAAGCTCAACTGGAATAAATTTTAACCTCAAATTAAATATGGGTCACGTTTGTGTGAAGAATGTTGATATGAGATATAAAACATAACGCATTGTCTGTTAACAGACAATTTGTTAACGGTTCATTTGTATTTGTAAATCTGACTGTAAAAGAGTCGGTGCCTCACCAGCTGTCAACCTCACCGCACGTCACTGGTTTAATTACAGAAGGGATATTTTGGACTTAATAAACGAAGCCATGTTAAGTAGATGACACACCACATTCCAACTTTTATCAGGTTTAAAGATGTTACACCTATTATTTAAACATGTCTCTGCTGTTGTTGCTGTTGCTCTAATGTAATCACAACACAATAGATCCTAACTGCCCAAATACAGACACCACGTCAGTTGTCCCACCAGAGACAAACTCACACTGGACCACTGCTACACAGTAATAAAAGATGCCTATCACTTTGTTCCCTGTGCAGCCCTCGGTCTCTCTGTTCACTGGTCCAGCTTATACCAACCTGTAGGCAGAAACGTAAAGCTGCGAAGCCTGTGGTTAAAACAGTGACGAGATGGACTGAGCAAGCAAAGTCTGAGCTACAGGCTGCTTTGGCTGCACAGACTGGAGTGTATTTTAGACTGTGTCTACAGACCTGGATGAACTCACTGACACTGTGACATCATACATCAGCTTTATGAGGACCTGTGTGTGTGTTTGTGTGTGTGTGCACACCAAGACCTTCTGCACATACAACAACAACAACAACAAGCCCTGGTTCACAGTAAAACTCAAGCAGCTCCCTACACTCCCTGGATGAGCTGCAGAGGTCAGAGGAAAGGCAGAGGAGTACTTTGGTGTTGTGTGCCAGCACAAATGAAAATGAGATCATGTTAAGTCAGAGGAGAGCTGTCAACAGGGCCACACAAACACTGCAGTACTAATACTAATTCTGCAGAATCAAAACATTGTCATCAGTGTTGACTTAACAGCAGAATCAACGGAAACTGTGCTTGATGGAGGTGTTATCCAGAGACAATGAGAATATGATCACTTTTAATTGAAACAACAACTATTGAAGACCCATTTTGAGTCACACTGTATGGCTATGTATTTATTTATTGTTAGCTAATGTCTTCACGAACTGGGCCCAGTGGGATCTGAAAGGATCTCTGGCTTGGAAAGAATGAGAAAACCTGCACAACTACACGGCAAACAGTCCCGGGTGAGGTGGGGGGGGGGCTAAACATAACTTGTACCAGGCTTAGTTTACACCAGGTCGGGTTTGGGAGACAGTGGCGTCGACCTGTGAAGCAGCATTTATGTGGTATTAAAGCTATATGGCTGTATTAATAACGAGAGCCATTCAGCAGAGCCTACGGTGAACAGTGGGAGATTATCGAAAGCTTTGTTACCGTTACCGGAAAAGTACAATTACCGTCGAACCCCAAATAAAATCCTAGCACGCAAGTGTACCAAGCCGCTATTTGGTGCCTAATTGTAAAAGGTGGTTCGCTAACAGCCTCTAGCCTGTTCAGCTCTTTTCATATTCGACACGAAGGAAAAGTGGCCCGGACAAAGCTAACGCGTTAGCTGATTTGCTTAACAGTCTGGGCATATTTCACTGCGTTTAGCGATGGCTGTCACAACTGTACTCACCTCCGAGTTCCTGAATAAAACAACTGCACCGTCGGTTAGTCTGAGCATGCGCCCTGAGCCGAGAACAAGTCGGAGAAAATCCCCTAGCGTGTGTTTTCTCACAGGAAGCTGCAGTCAACGCGGTGATGTGTACGCTGTGAAACCAGGCAGCAGACCAGTGTTCCTGCTCCGCAATGCCCCTCTCTCTTTTCCTCTGTGCTGCCAGCTGTTATTACGAGACGTTCAGGGGGCGGCGTTCGCTCCAGTTTGTCATGAGCAGGAGGAACTAGCTGTATTCGTGGCAGGACACGTGACACCGCGCTGTTTGTTATCGGGTGACCGCGTCAAGGTACACAGAGATAGGAGTCTGCCTGACGCCTACGTTTACCTGGCTGCAGGAATGATTAGCTCTCAGTGGACCTGTAGCCTGTAGCCTACCACCACAATGATCTTCTCAGATTGGAGGCAAAAACCTACCCAGTATTACAACTTCGAAAGGCTGAAGACGGATCTAGATTAGTTTATGTGGAAAAGTTGCTACAAATGCATAAACACATTTAAAAAAACCGAGTTATCTCCTATTAAATGGCTGATTAGTACAAAAATATTAAATAAATGCCTTCACATCTGTTCAAATGCAAAGACATCTGAAAACGTTTCTAATTTGTGACGAATGGAAGAAGTTTTCAAATTGTTTCCTAAAATAAAAGTACCAGCGCAGCAGTGTAAAAATACTCAATTAAAGCCAAAGTCCTGTCTTCAAAATCTAATAAAAGTACAAAATTATAATCAGCTAAATGTACTTTAAGGAGCCTATCCTGAAAGCACTTGTTAAATAGAAAAATGGCCCCTGTGGGTGATATTATTATTAGATTGTTAAACGTGATGAAGCAGGGCATAGGTAGCAGTTTACTGTTGTAGCTGTTAGGGTATATGTTGTTTATTTACTTTATTCCCTATACAGTTACTGTAGGTAGTTTAGTCCACCCATGCCCAACCTGGAGGTCGAGGCCCTTCCAAAGGTCACAAAATAAATCTGGGGGGATTGTGAGATGAGTAATGGGAGAGGAAAGAAAGAAAAGCAATGTTCTGATACATGAATTGCAGTTTGCATGCACTGTTTACACCTTTCTCTAATAGTTTATTTTTTGTGACATATAATAATAATAATAATAATACATTAAATACTTATTTAAAACTCTAACCATATTAAAAGTCTCTTTGTTAGAACTGCTAATTTATAGGCATCTGAAAAGTGATGAAGCTCCTGACATGACACTTTTTAAAGAATTTTGTGTAAGATGTCACAATTCTCAAAGGGTGTGACACATTGTTTATGTCTTATTTTAGTGTAAATTCTTAATTTTGTCATTGTATTTTGTTATGTTTTTGTTTCCATGAGACTTAGGAGAGGTTGTTTTTTTTAAATAAGCTTTCAACTTCTTATCACTCCTGTATAAGTTAGTGCGGGGGCACCGCTAGCAGTTTTGGGCCCTATGAAAAAATTTGAAGTTGGGCCCTCTACCTCAGTCTGTGGGCCCCCAAAGTTCGTAGGCCCTTAGAATCGTCCTAACTTCCCCCCCCCAACGGCGCCCGTGAGTCAGTGTATATCGAATGTATGTGCAATATGAATGAATATATTGCATGTAATAAAGTAAAACATACACTGTTTCCATCAGATTTGCAGTGCAGACTTGAGTAAACATAAATGATAACATTCCACTATGAATAATGTGCCACTAAGCCATTTCAGCAATAACTGTGTATATACAGTGCAGTCATGATTCATGTCTGACAATGACACGTTGTCTGTTGCAGATCTGTCATTGTCCAGTCTCTTGTAAAATAAAGGGGGACTATACAGTGTGTATAGAGTGTGTTACGAGTTGGCGTATGCACTGAACAACCTCAAACACCCTCAAAACTAAAAGTCACTACTTTAATCTCAGCTATGGTTTTATTTCGCATAGGCTCTGCTGAAGTACAGTGACTATAATATTGAGTGTGCTTTTGTCTAAAAATGTATGGGGTTTGAAGGATGCTCCAAAAACTGACAGAGAAAACTAAACAAAAGGTGTGCTACCAGAGGATTTCTGAATACACTTACAGCAGTTTTAATTTATGTCTTCCAAATGCCACTGCACAAAGTCAAGAAACGTATTTCTCTCGATAAAGGCGGGAATAAAAATGTTTCTGTTGACAAAAGTCAAGAAACGTATTTCTCTCGATAAAGGTTCTGAATACACTTACAGCAGTTTTAATTTATGTCTTCCAAATGCCACTGCACAAAGCCAAGAAACGTATTTCTCTGGATAAAGGCGGGAATAAAAATGTTTCTGTTGACAATGTCATCATGTAACTGTGTATATACTCTGCCACAGCATTACTTTAGCTTCCAGGGCATTTTATTGTTTTGCAGACTTTATGACATTTCTTGTTATCAGCAACCCAGAGAAGGGAAGCGAAGGCACCTGTTGGACTTCTCAGTGGCTTAGGTGTGTATTTTGACTAGTTGGCTCTGTTCCTACAGCTCTTTAAGTCTGCATGTCAACCTGAAATGCAGCATATAAGGATGAGAAAAATTCTATTCTGTCTTATACACCACTGCAGAGTTCACAAGGGTGGTATACTATTGGCCTCTAGACGTGGGAAACTGACCCACTATCTACGTATCAGTGTATCTGCAGATGCTCATCCATGTCCTAACCTACATTTTAGATTGCTCGCAGTGTCCCGCAATTTGACAGCAGATGGCAGCAGAGGTCTGTCAGTGATTACTCCAAATAATCTTTAGCCAGACTACACCAAACCAATAATTATTCGTGGAAAGTTACTTTATACATAATATATATAAGAAGATCTGATTCTAAACTCTTACAGAGCAACCAATTCATAAAATGTCCTTGTGTTATTATATGAAAGTCACCGCTATAGTGCATAAGATGCACGGACAAATTCACTTACAAATAGAATTAAATGATTTCCTTTAAAACGATTAATTTGTACAAACTATTGTTGGACATGAAACGCATGATGAATTACAACTGATGGTTTATTTGATCTCTAAAAACAGAAGCGAGTGTGCATCTAAACGATCAAACACAGACGCATCACCCTGCGCCAAAAAGGACAGTGCCATCTGCTCCACACATTATTATTTCAGACATATAAGTCAACTGCGCACAGTGAACTAACGTGAAGATTAATGCAGACTAATTGCGACAAAAGTAAATCTATCTAGCTCTGATGAACACAAACGGTGTTACTTGACGCATCTGGAACGGATTGGGCCGGAAGTTACCAAGGGGCATTAATTAGTGATGGGGTGGTACCCCTTATAAAAAGACGACGCGCCCACTGATCTGCTCCATCTTCATACAAGCCAGGATGAGCTACGGATCAGATGTCTATTCCTCCTCCTCCTACAGGAGAATTTTCGGGGAGTCTCCCCGTTATGCGTCCTCTCCTTCGAGGACATCGATGAATGTATCATCACGGGGAAGTTATCGGTCGTCCTCTCTATCCCGGGGCAACATTTCATCCCTGGGCTCGTACAGCAGAAAGTCCGGCCGCTCCTTCACGCCAATGCCACTGGAGACATTCGACCTGACACAAAGCAGCGTCCTCAACAATGAGTTCAAAATCATCCGCACCAATGAAAAGGAGCAAATGCAAGGTCTTAATGACCGCTTTGCTATGTTTATCGAGAAAGTGCGCAACTTGGAGCAGCACAACAAAGTGCTGGAGACGGAGCTGATTGCTCTGCGCCAGCGGCAGAGCGAGCCGTCCCGCCTGGCTGAGCTTTACCAACAGGAGATCCGCGAACTGCGCTCCCAGCTCGATGAACTGAACGGGGAGAAGTCCCAGCTGGTGATCGAGAGGGATAATATTGAAGACGAACTGCAGAAAATCAGAGCAAAATATGAAGAGGAGTTCCGTGCTCGGGAGGAGGCTGAGGCCACCCTCAAGGCATTTAAGAAAGATGTGGATGACGCCACCATGGTGCGCCTGGACCTGGAGAAGAAGGTGGAATCTCTTCTGGACGAGATCAACTTCCTGAGAAAGGTGCACGAAGAAGAGGTGGCTGAGCTGACGGACATGATCCAAGCAGCCCAGGTGTCTGTGGAAATGGAGGTGTCCAAGCCGGATCTCACCTCCGCCCTCAAAGAGATTCGCAGCCAGTACGAGTCTATGGCGTCCAAGAACTTGCAGTCCGCCGAGGAGTGGTACAAGAACAAGTTTGTGGATCTTTCCGAGCAGGCCAACCGAAGCAACGAGGTCATCCGCGCCAGCAGGGAAGAGTTGAACGAGTTCAGGAGGCAGCTGCAGTCCAGGACCATCGAAATAGAGAGTCTGAGGGGAACCAACGAGTCTCTGGAAAAGCAGCTCCGGGAGATGGAGGACAGGCACAATGTGGAGATCGGAAACTACCAGGTAATTACATTTTAATGACTTGCTACCTACTTATAAATATTATACACCAAATCCCATAAGCCATTTATTTTCAGGTTTATTTACATTGAAATAAATACGTTGTAAAAGTGTTTTTATTATAAAGACATGTCAGAACAATTGTCAAATCAGGAGCAGCTGCCGTCGGCCGGGCGCTGTCCTTGGTGCTGAAACCCGTTCCCCTGGACAGCGCGTCAGCAGCTGCATCTGAGAACACACACCCAGTGTGCGCGCTACACACGGATCGTGCGTCTGAAGCTGGAAACATGTTTATATTGACAAATATTTTAACCCATAAACGACTCTAATTTCCAACTACATAATGCAGAGGTTCACAATATACCTTTGTCTGTGCTACACTCATTCCTCTCCTAATAATGTAGAAATAATGCTTATTATGCTTAATGCTTTTATAAATGAGCTAAAAAATATATATACATTTGTTAGGAAATGTCGACCTCCACTCCTTTTTTTTCAGGATAGCATGGCAGAGCTGGAGAATGATCTGAGGACAACCAAGAGTGAGATGGCTCGTCACTTGAGGGAGTACCAGGATCTGCTGAATGTCAAGATGGCACTGGATATTGAAATAGCAGCTTACAGGTAAGTATTTAAAAACACTAACATACACGTTTCTAGTCAGAAAAGTCTCTGTATTGCATGTTAAACTGCTATATTCATTTTTGTGTCGTATATACTGCCCTTGCCTTATTTCCGATCCTTTCTGAACCATACCACCTTCTTTGCAGGAAACTACTGGAAGGAGAGGAGACCCGCATTGGAACAGGCATCACCTATCCTAGCCCCTCCTTAAGCACCAGTGCTGGGCAAAGCTACAACTACCAGACCCGCATCTATACCAGCTCTGGTAAGAGCTACAAGAAGGAGAGCAAGGATGAAGACCAGCAGCAGCAGAGCAAGTCTGGGGGCAAGGTGTCCCACCGTGAAGCTTTTGAGGAAACAAATGTCACCGCTAAGAAGGTGGAGAAGCAGCAAGAGTCCAGCGATATTCCCACCGATCCGAAAAACTAAGAGCCTAGTGTAAGCCTGTTCTCAACCCCTAAAGTCTCCCTTGATCCTGTAGTTCCTCTCCTCTTTTCAGCTCCCATCCTAAAGCAAACCTTGAGCCTTTATTCTTGAAGCTGTTGTGGGGATTCAAGATGCTAACCCTGCTTTGCCTTCCTATTAGTACAAATGTCAAGTTTTCTAACATCTGAAATGCAGGTTCAGAGGTTTGTTTTATGTTGGTTTATTCTTCCTTGTACCCTTTGCCCTCTCCCCCACACCTGTGTTTCTCAAAGGCAATCCATTATAACTCTGCTATAACCATCACTCTAAACCACTCTTTCTCTTTCACAAACTCAACATCAGGCAACAATAAGCACCTGGATAGCATCTCTTGCAAACGTGTGATCGTTCAAGCCTTCATTTTCAACTGATCTTTCTCACTAATCAATATGTAGAACTGCCACACCTAGAGAATAACTCTGGTCATGCATTTCTACCACAAGTTGCGGGGTAATTACATCCACATACACAATACAGTTAAAAAGATTCTGGACAGTTTCCAAGGAAAGCACACATTCTACAAACCAGCCACAATACACAGTGCCACATGACAGTGTCTTACTGAGCCACCATTTTAAATCCTAGGCATTAAAAATAGAGTTTCTAAACAAAATGTCTGCTTAAATCTCTTCTTGCACGATAGTTCTAGTCACATTTGATGCACCAGTGGTTTGACTGTAGTTCGGTCAGCTCTGCATGACAACAGTATAAAAGAGGATGAACATCCACAGTCGAGCACTGGCCCTTTTTAACTTCCAAGTGAAGTTTGATGAACAAACCTGGATTACTGTAGCTTTTTAAATGACATCATACTTGAAGCAAACAAGGAAACAAATGTATTACTGAAGCATCATTTGCATGGTGTATGTAGACATCATCTTTGCATGGAATCCATCAGCTCATCGTTCAGTTCAAGGGTCAGCCAATGCCTTCCTTTTCATGCTGACTATCACCATGTACATTCATTGATAAGTGTAAGAGAAATGTGCTTGTTAGCTAGCAGGCTGGATTTGAAACTCTCTGCTGTTGATGCTGTGAAGAAAATGAGCAACTTCCTCTTTAGGAATGGAAACTATGCTAGTAATGATGAACAGTACAATAAATGCAGTTAATTTAAAAAGAAAGAAGAAGAGTTTTCTCTTGGTTCAGTCCAGTCAATTAGAGACTGAGTTGTACATTATGCTCTAGCGAAAAGGCACGAGATTCTATATGATCCATGTGGGTATGATGAACTGTATGCATATTTAACTCAATTTCCCAAGTGTCATTGATGACGTTTGAAGCACATTTAAGCCCCAGAATTCATTTCATATCAAAACTCAAAATAAACAATCACAAGTTGAGTCACAACCTGGCAGGCCACAGTGTGCACAACCAGACCCCTCTTTTTTTAACTGTGGCCATGACTGGATAAAATGTCTGTTGTAGTATGACTTCACCACTACAGATCCTTCAGTATGAGAGGCTTGTATGTTGTGTTCCTGCTTGCGCACTGCCAACGTTAGCACTATCTTATTCTCTTGCTGCTAGTTATTATATGCCAATCCTGACAAAATGCACTCAGACTAAGAATGAAAACTGTGTTCCTGTTGTTCTACCTGAGACCTGATAGGTATGTTAGTACTGTAGTAACTGTGCTTGTATCTCTACACAGTGGCCTATTGTAGCCAGAATGATTTGGGGCAGCGACACTGAAAGCTGCACATTTTGTTATGGATGACTGAATTCCAGTGTCAGTCAGAGGCAAAGCATTTTATAGTTTTTGACTATAACAGTGGATGAATGGTTCATGGTTGCAAATGTCAAACTTTTATCTTTACACTGTAAGCCAAAAGAGTTTAAAAAGCCACGAATAGTTCTATAGCACTGCCAGACTTTTCTAATAGCACCTCACATCAACAGTCCAAAACCACCAATCAAGATTTAGCCGTTGAACAAATCCTGTAGGATGTAACATGCCTTAAAATACCAGCAGCGTTGTTTTCTGGCCATGTGTGTGATGTGTCTGTTCAGTGGGGTGTGTAATCTCTGTATTAGCATTTATCAAAAGCTACCATAACAACAAAGGCATATGGAGTGAATGTAGCTGACACGCCATTCTCTTTACTAAAGTTACTGCTTATGTATTGCTGTGTGACACCATATCAATAAAGACTTCACATTACTGACACTGGACATGGTTTAATTGTGTTTCTTTTAAATTCACCACACACCTTTTAGACAAGGGTATCCATACTGAAAAATGTACAAAAATATGTGATAATTTTAACACACATTATCCACATCCATATCTCTATGAGTTCATGCATCCCATTAATACTGCAACTAATTACTGCAGTCATGTAAAGTACATTTACTTAAGTGCCAATCTAAATTACTCACACATGAATGCATCAATAATTATAATCCAAAATGTAATGTACATTATTCTGAAATGGCCATTCTGCCTAACAAGTACTTTTACTTTTATAATTTGATGCTAATGATTTTGTACTCGGACTTCAGTAAGATTTTGACTTGCATGATTTTATTTGTAACAGAGTAATTATACATTGTGGTATTGCTACTTTAAGTAAAAGATTTGAGTACTTCTAGTGCTCATTAATGATAATGAGTCCGTAGGATTTGAAGCAGTACTTCTTTGGTAGTATATGAGTGTGTGATTATAACATGCAGCTCTTCTGTAGCATGATCAACAGATCAACCTGGGACATACATTTTGGTTTGTAAATTACTTTCTCTTGCACAACAAAATGAGTGCAGTAAAATGCAGGAAAGTCTGTAGCTGAAGACACCATTGAGGGTCAGTGCTGAGTACTTAATATTGTAAAATAAATATTGTTCATACACATATTTTCAGGCATGAAATGAAGAAACAATTTTGTTGCTATGATTTATCTGTGAAAGTAAATATTGCTTTGGACCAGTACAGACCAGAAAACGGTGTCTCCTTGACACGTGAAGATGCATGTTTGCTTCTCAGGGCCACAGTGTAGATGAACATTACAAAGATGGATTACCTGTAAAATGACCTCTGTACCCCATACAGCTGCTTCTCCACACTTAGATACACACACTGTCCAAGAGTGTCCGACCTTTGGCCTGGTGGGTTGTTTCTGATTAGCCCATCTCCTCCCTTGCCCACCGTTTGGGTGGAACAGCTTTGGTGCTGGGTGTACATATGTAACGTAGGCTGCAGTTCTTCCAAGATTTATACCTCTGCAATGCTGCTGAGTAGAAGGTGTGGTAAGAACCACCCGGTGAAAGGCCACTGTTATGACACAGCCCTCCCCCCTTTTGCTTCAAACTTACAAAGTGCTTCAACTTTCTATTTTAAGTCTCAGCCTTAACCTCGGTCACATCGCCCCTCATGTACTATGAAACTATAAAAAATACATGAAAACCAGCACTGAATGCTACTATGTATAAAATATTGCTCCCTGTAATAAACTCTGTCCAATCTGGGATTAATTTGAAATTTATAGCTGCTTAGAGCCATCAGGGCGTACTTATCCTTGAGTTGCAAAGCAATAAGTATACATTGCAGCTGACTGATTTCTCGAGTGTGTCATTCTATAATTATCACACACATGCTTATTTTAAACAAACTCACAATGTTGTCAGTGTCAGAAAAACTGTTTATGCTGCAACAAAAACAGCAAAGAATAAACTGCATATACATAATTTTCTCTACTGAATTCTTACTTTGATTCATATCTTCTTTTATTAACATCCATTTTCTCTTTTAGTTCCCTCTAAGTAGCTTTAATATTCCAAAATCATCTAATTCCGCATTGTGCTGTGGTAATCCATATATCATATATTAAGATTTGACTTGTTTCGACTCTTTACTGAGGCTCTAATATGTTTACTCTGAGTGAACTATTCAATCCAAAGAGTCTGTGCGTTTATGACTCCACCAAATGGAAATGTTTTGGATTCAGTCTGACATATTCGATATCTTTGGAAATGTTGAGATCTCCCCTAGAAAGTTATGTGGGTACACAGCCTGATTTTATAATGATTGATCAGGGGTTTGAGAGGGGAATAAATATCTGTTCATACACACCTCTCACTGACTGTGGTACCATATTAATTTCTTCCTCTTTGTTGTCTGGAGGGGAGAAGGAGACTATATTGAGGGGGAAGTGTGTTTTATGGTCTGTCTGGTGATATGTGTCTGTGTGGGGCTGTGAATGTGGTGGAAATGAGAATCAGGCTGTAAACGAGAGGCCTGTAAAACTCCACCTGTTTGTCAGCATCTTTGAATCAAATCCTTTGCTTTTCACTGGACTGAGGCGTTGGCTCTGCAGACATATTAAAGTGTGAATATGTGTGACCTCTCTCTCTCTCTCTCACACACACACATATAGGACCCAAATAACACTAACTGAAACCAAAAAGGGTAGAAAGGTGTCCTTCCCCGAACAAGGGAAATACTTGTATTCTTAAGTCTTAAGTCTTAAGGTGTGTTCAGCAGAAGACAAGTTGAATTTCATATACAGCAAGACCTGAACTGTGAGGTGTCTGCAGTCATTGAAATTGTTTCAACTTGAGCAAAAACAAAAGTTAATACTAATCCAGTGGCTTTATGAATCTGCATCATTAACCTACAGAGACATGAGGAAAAAGGAAAGAGACAGGAGGAGCATTACACAAAGACCTGGAGTTTCTGGAGAGATTTGAGACCAAGTGGAGACTGAACTCAACACAAACTCACAAGCACATTTCCACACACAACCTCAATGCATGCACCACCAGTACAACTGGTACATCTTATATTTGGGACTTCATGCGAATGACACAAGATGAAAACTTTGCTTCACTTTCTGTCTGAACAAACCTTTATAGGAATGCACTGACAATTTGGGATTATGTTTGTGTTTGTTTCACCTTACTGGGATTCAAACACCTTTTCTGTAAAAGATGTGTTTAGCCTAGCTTAGACAAACAATGGTATCATAAGGAAACAGCAAGCCTTTGTCTTTTAGCACACTGTTGGTAGGAATCATTTTACAATTTGACCCAGGTGGTTATGTACTGTATGTCTCAGTTTTTGCCCCAGTAAATAAAGTGCTAATTTATGAGTTGTTGCTGCTGTTGCCTTGGAATCTGTTGCTAGCAGTGTGCGGTGATGCAGCGGCTGCGGGGAATGACCGTTGTCAGAGAGACAGACTTCACTCTCATCCAAACAGGCAGACAAAGAGGCCTGAAGAGAGGCATAGACACAGATACAGAAGCCAGACAACAACATCAATACAAAGATAGAAAACAAAAATAATGAGAGCAGTTATACACTCTTAAACATTATAATATAAATTGGATGATCCTAAAACCCATGGCAGCAACTGCTAAAAATAAATTGTTGACAAGCAGCTTAGCGTTCTGTGAGGGAAATTGCATTTAATGGAGTATTCACAATGAAATTGCCTCTGTTGGGCAGAACGTGCTGAATCATTTTGAGGTAGGCCTCATGTGTGACATGGCACCACTCTGTAACCAAGCTTTTTTCCCCCATGGTTCTAATAATAGCAGACACAGAGGCAGCAGAGCCAGACAGACAGAAAGCCAGAGAGAATGAGAGAAGAGGATTTTTCCTGAATAAAGGGGAAGGTGGCATCCTTGTTCTTGACCACTGACTGTGTGTTTCTGATGATGCATAGAGAAGTATTAAGGCTATTGAGCCTGAGAAATACATTTTCATTAGCTGGATCTCAGAAAATCAGAAAATGGGGTGGGGTATGGCAACTGTTGCTCTACACATATTTTCAGTATTGTGGAGAATTTGATTTAGGTGTAAAGGTTGTATTTATGAAGCAAAGGTCAACTGAATTAATACAGTATGAAAGTGCTTTATGTGTAATTAATCCAGTGATTGTTTGAGCTAGATACCAGACTTGATTTACACATCATTTTTACAGTTCACTTTTTGACATTTTTACTAGATTATACATGAAATTTGGTTATTACAAAGCTCTCATATAGTTTGTGCAATTATGATATTTTTAAGGGACATCCAAATAAAAGCAGAGCCTGGTGGAAGAGGAGTAGGCTATTACTTGTTCAAATGTTAAAATATCCACCCCTCGTCTTTAAGAACACCTGGATTTACTTCACACACACTTAACCTTTCAGCACATCACTATCTTTTTGGACTTTCCTTTTAGAGAATTCCTTTAAATATGTACATACAGTACACACACCATTTGTATAGACCCAATATTGATCTCTCTATTTGTGCCTGAAGATGTTTATTTATACTGTAAAATGCAGCTCGCGTCTTGGCCTGTTTGGGTGGATATTAAAGAGCGAGGTGTATTTACTCCACATTCCCAAACTGTAGTTACAAAGATACATGAACATACAAACTTACTGTATATTGTAATAATTATACATCATGTGTAAGGATTTGGAAACCTATTTAAAAAAAAAAGGCCATAAAATGACAACAGTTTTTCCCACCACAGTTATCAGATGGCCAGAGTTGGTATGCATACATAACTATATTTAAAACACCTCACACTAGGATCCTTTTCATTTTTCACTTTGGGGTGAAACTGTTTCATCCGCAGGTGTGGAAAAGTGTGTGTCATCACTTCCTCCAGTGACTAAATCTGGGATGCTGATGAAATGTTAATAGGAAAGTATTTTTAGGTCTCAGCTGGCTGCATGAGAAGGTGCAGAAGGACACAGGTACATGGAGAAACTGATGTGTGCTGTGTGTCTGCTGGTGAGGATGCACTGTATGCATGAGAGTGTCACTGGAGAAAAATCTGGTATTAAAAAAAAAAAAGAACCATAAAACCCAGTAAAAAAGTTACTCGGGGAGGCAAACAGTACGCC